TCTCAAGCAAGGCCATGGGTATCATGAACAGTTTCATCAACGATATTTTCGAGAAGCTTGCGGCGGAGTCTTCTAGACTCGCGAGGTATAACAAGAAGCCGACGATCACTTCGAGGGAGATTCAGACCGCGGTCAGGCTTGTGCTGCCCGGAGAGTTGGCGAAACATGCGGTTTCTGAGGGGACTAAAGCTGTAACTAAGTTTACTAGTGCTTAGATTTGAAAAACATGTTGTTTGTGTTTCTTGTTTGATTATGTGGATCTAATGGATGTATCTTTTGCTATGAAACTGTGAATTTGATTTTATATGATTCAAAATGTATTATGATGCACCGATTCTATTCAAAACACTTTTGATTCTTTGGTTGTTTAATTTACTTCTTATCTGGGTTGGCATGTGCAAGAACAATGCATCCCAGAACCTCTGAAGTACTCAATTGTTGGCTTTACACCACTTCACGCCTCTTCTGAAGTTTTGGTTTGCACAGCCACAATAAAACATCTATTGAGTATATGACACAATCCATTTTACAGCTTTGGGCCAAAAAAATCGAGAAATTCGATGAAGGCTTTTTATTTAATATGGTTTTTGGTGGTGGATAAGTCAAAGCACATAGAGACTTATATACTACCGACGGGGTCGCTCTCAAGTATGAGGCAGACTCCATCCTTTTCTATTAGATGACTTGTCTATAAAGATGATTCACTTTGTGTAGGATTCAGTTTGGGGCCATAGTGAGTTCTGCAATAATATCAGCAAAGACCGAAGCTTGAAGGGCTTTCAGGGATTAGAAGGAGATTTTAAACTGTAATAGATCTTTCTTGAATAGCGCATGCTTCAAAAATTGGTTAGTGCATACTACTATTGAATTGGCTAGAAAGTAACATCATAATTTTCTTGATGTTACTGGCAACGCTATGGATCTTATCAATCTTTTGATAGCGGCTTTCTAGATCTGCTAATGCCTTGGAGACAAAGTAGTATGAGCCCTACCTCCCTCACAAGATTAACACCTACTGCTTCTGTTGAGACTTCCAAGTATATGAATACGATCTTCCCATTCACGGGGCGGGCCTTAAAAGTACCATGGAGTTTGGAGATAACATGCTTTAGTTGTGTGAATGCTTCTTTGCCTTTAGATGTCCATTCAAATAGTACTTCTTTCTTCAAGAGTTTGTAGAATGAAAGAGCGTGTCTGACAAACCTATAAATAAATCTTTTGAGAGTGATGTCATATTGTTTAGTTTCATAAGTATTTCTTTGGTGAACTAATTTTACATCTTTATAATAGCGAATTTTACATCTTTATAATAGCGTCACATTTGTCTGGATATGATTCAATTCTCTTCTCGTTGAGGCAAAATCTAAGGAATTTATTGACCTTGACCCTAAATGTGCACTTTTATAGGTTCAATCTAATATTGAATTGTCAGACCCAATTGAGCACGATAATAAGGTGGCATTCATGTAGGTTATCTTCCCCAAATTTGACTATTATGTCGTCGAATTCTCGCTTGAGGATTTTGGAAATCATCCTTTGGTAAATGGCCCCTGTATTTTTTAAATTAAAGGGCATAACATTATACTTGTAGTTGACATGATTTGTCATGAATAATCTCTTATTTCGACCCTTCTCGTGCAATGGGATATGCTTGTACCAAAAATAACATCCAAGAAGGACAATAGTTTGTACATGTCTGAGTTGTCCACCAATTTGTCTATGTTGCGCATGTGATACAACTCCTTGGGAAAATATTTGTTGAGATTTCTATAATCATGCACATGTGCCACTTTCTACTTTCCTTCTAGGAAAACACCACATTTGATAGCCATTATATATAGTTCAATGTTGATATGAAATTCGCTTGAAGGAGTCTTCCCACAGTACTCTTGGTGGCTTTAGATTTCTCTTGTGATTGATGACATCTCCTTTATGAGACGTTATTGATAAAAAGGTATATGTTTAGCTGATGGCATGCAACGCTGGAGTTGATGGCCAAAATCTCCATGGTGGAGAACATAAGTAGACATGTGTTATCCTTGAGGCCTTTAATGAGCCCGTCTTCCACGAAGGTAGAGACATTTACCCAATTTTCACAATACATGTTGAGTTATCGTCGATTTGGATATCCACGAAATTACCGTATGTGAATGGTCTTTGTATCTTCATTCATGCCTCGATCGTGAGAGGTATTCCAAGTTTGGGCTCTTGCTCGAATTTAGCTTTTCTAGACATGCGTCGAAGTTTGTTTCATTTATGTCTATGGATTTCTTCCTAGAAAAACCGACCTCCTTCCCCTTCCCTTTCTCCTGAATGAATGTCACGTCCATGTTCCTTTAGATAGTTTTGTGGCATTACTTGGCTCCTACTAGGTTGACAAACATTTTCAATACCCAATCTTCGGCATTGTGGCACAACAACTTAAGGTAGAAAGTAGTTGATACCACTCCCAAGGATGCTAGGGAGGGTTTCTCTAAAATGAAGTGTAAACGAATCTGCATGGGAAGACCAAGAGTTTGAAATCTACGACTCTCTCTGCCATTTCTTCTTTGAAAGTGACTAACAACTCTATGAAGCCCCAAGGGAGGGCTACCGTGTCGTTAAAGCATTGCATATCTATTAAGTGGTGTGAAATTTAAATTTTTTTCTTGAGCCCAATTTGGTGAATGAATCCACGTACGAGATGTTGCATGAACTTTCATATTCAACAAGAACTTCTGAGACGTCAGAATTGTCCATGATGACCATAATCATTAGTAGAAATATCTTGTTTGGTATGCCTTCTATCCTTTCGCCAGCCTTAAAACATAGAATGTGTCATTCTAGGGTCTCTTCTAACACTAGTTTTATTGTCCTGGTCAACATAAAACATTTTGGGGATATCTTTCTTAACATATCCCTTTGACGATTCCTTTGTGAATGTGAATCCCTCGATGATTGGGAAGATGAAGGAGAATATTCTCGTGATATTGAGGCAATAAAAAACTGTTTCCATTTCTTTTAGTCTTACTCTTCATTGTTCTCTCTCCCTTTGCTATTTCATTCAATTGCATTGATTGTCTTTCTAGGCAGGGTGTCCCCCTAGCGGGGAGCGCTTTATTTATGGGAATTGACTCTTATAAGCAACTTTTTGCCTAGAATTTCATTATATCTTGTTGTTACCTCTTTGGGTATCTTACTTGCAGCATCTACCAACTTTTCATTGATTGATTATGTTTTCAGTCACATCCTTAAAATGGATGCACTAACTAGTCTCATGCACATAGAATTTTTGGAACCGACAATATTTTGTTTTGTGCATATGGAAATTCCTTCAAGGGTGGGGGTGAGGGGGATTTTAACCTAAATTTTTTGAACTTTGTGTCACAACACTCTTGTAGGAATCTTTTCTATGTATGTTTTTAAGGGGGAGCACTATGAAAACCTAGAAAAAGGTCCCTTGTTCTTCTCGTTATCTAGTCTTCACGACTTTTGTTGTCCTTAGGGTTCTCAAATGTATTTTCTTCTCATATTCATCCATTAACTTTTCTTCTTAATTTATATATTATCTGAGCTGGCGAAATACCCAATTACACGGGGCTCATTATCAACATATCATTGTGAATCTAGAAGTGGGGGTTCCATTGCATTCAAATCTAATTCAGACTACTCAGGTAGCTGGATCTGCCCAATTACTTCTAATTGGATCTTAGATTCCACATCGAGTTGCGCAACATGAAGTCTTACCTGGTTTGCAAATACCGCGAGCAAACCTTGGATAACAAAGTGATATTGAGATGCTCAACATCATGTACAATATTGTTTGACAGTATAATTCACAAGCAATAAATGAAAGGTTGACGCGGTTCGAAAAAGACTCTACAATATATCAAGGAGAACTCATACCGCCACCCCTGAGTCGGCCGCGACGAATAAAGACAAAGCTCTTAAGTCGAGATATCAACATAGGAGCAAGAAACCCGAAAGTTCCCCCCAAAGCCCATAGGGAAACTACGATAACCACAACTCTTCCCCGAATAAAGCATAAAAATAATCATTAAAGATTCAACAGAAGTACCCACTATGCACCAATATTGTGGAGAGTAAAATACTAAAATCCACAGAAAAGCCGCCCAAGCTAGGCGAGTTTAATTTAAAAGGAGATCCTAATGAGCATGTACAACTCGCCATTGATCGATATAACTACTTTAGCATGGATGAAGTCTCCAAGTGAAAATTGTTGGCGTTAACCCTAATCGTACCAACCATGCTATGGTTCGATGGTCTGCCAAATAAGAGCATTGAATCATGGACTATTTTATATAAATAGTTCTCTACACACTTCACTGCCTAAAAGAGGCAATCGAAGACCGTAACCTCATTGAGAAAGATTATTCAGGGGACTAAGGAAAGTCTGCAATCTTATATTGATCAATTTACACAAGTCGGAGTTGAAGTCGAAGAAGCTGAAGAAGGTTTTAAGTGTTGGATCTTTGAAAATGGCATTCTAGGGGACCATCCCTCCAGGTTATGTATCACAAGAAATAAGATATGAACCACTAAAGAGATGTTGAACATGGCTCAACAATAGATTATCCTAGAAGAGAAGCTGAAAATCTACTTTGATAATCTAGTCTCTACTGACACCAACTCCAACCACACCCGACAAGGAAGGAGTCCCACAGATGAAAGAACGACTCTGATTGAGGTATGTAAGGACAACACTACAAGTACACTCCTTTGAATGTTTATCGGGAAAAGATCTACCAAAACTATGCCAATAAAAAATTATGGAAATGAGTAATCTGACCCCCTTGCCCCATCAGAGAGACATCTCTGAATGACAAGTCAAAGTACTGTTGTTTTCATAAAGGTCACGACCATAACACCAACAACTGCATTCGACTGAAGGACGCCATTGAAGGGTTGATCAATAGGGACCGACTGACCAAGTATGTGAAAGAGGCATAATAAAGATATGGAATAATGGCCTACAGGTAAATCTCCCTCAAAGACTACCAATGCTTGGACCGGTGGAAAGAGCAAGGAGGATAACAAAGGGAAACACTCAAACATCACCAACATCACTAGAAGTGCACCATATGCAAACCTCCATTCCAAGGAAAACACGAAGAGGAAACTCCCAGAGATGTTGTCCATCCATAAAAATGATGTAGGTACTTCGATGAAGACCGTTGATTGACGTATGTTGGGGTTCCAGGACTAAAAGAAGGTAGGGGGGGTACCCAAAAAAATTCCCCCTAGTGACCACAACTACATTCTATAAGTTTAACGTTTCTTGAATCCTAATTGAGGTAGGAAACTCCTATGATATTATGTACTTAGATTTGTTCGAGAAGATGGGCCTTGAATGAAGCATCTTGTGGCCATCAAAAGGCTTTAACTTGCAAGCATTCAACAAAACAACCACCCGTCCATGGGGATACATCTAGATGATGATATTGGTGGGCGACAAGAAATATATCTGAGAAATCAATTCAAAATTCCTCACCGTGCCTCGTAGGAAGATCTATATGCATTATGGGAAGGCCTTTTGCAGTCACTCTGAATGTTGTAGCCTCATTGGTGCATCTCAAAATCAAGTACCATAAGCTTCATGGAGATTCGATCACCATTAACATTGATCTCGAAGGAGAAAAAAATAATATTTTAAGCACTCTATAAAGACTAAGAAGAAGGTGTGGTCATGGAGATTAATGTAGCTTACCTCACCAACCACCTCAGCATGATGAGGATCTGTCCCCTAACGAGTGGCTAAACCAACAATGGAGAGCAAGAAGAATAAGCGGCGACTAGCCCAATTGGTTATGTTTCCTTTTCTATATGTATTAAATGTTGTGATTATATAATCATTCTCCTTATGTACACGGGTAACTTGCAATTATAAATGAAATGCAACATTTTCTAAAATATTCGTTTCTTCGTGTTTGTGAGTAATGATAAGGATGTCCGGGTATAACCAACATGATCGAGGCTGGATACAAAGAAGTTCAGAGGTGCTACCGCAAATATTTTCCCATGCCACTATAATAGCCAATTCCCCACGACATAACCACACATCAAAAGTTATGGGTGCTTTCTGTTGGAACAAAATATGATCATGCTCCTTGAGTTCATACTCTTTGAGTTTTGATGATAACAAAAGTACTTAAAGAACAATAGGCAAACTAACATTTGGTTAAAGTGTGCAAGATCATTAAAGCTAGTAATTAACTAAGGTTCTGACCTAATTGAATTACTTGTAATTAAGAAGCAAATCAAATTCTAATAGGATCATAACCTGATGTTTAAATGGAACCTCAATACCATGTTGACACAACATATGATGTTCAAATGTATCTCCAGCGCCAAACTAGAAACATAGTACAATGTCTATTCATCCGTACTCTGTGTAAAAGTAGCTACATCTTGTCAACGACTAGAATTATGGAAAAGTCAACTAGAGGTTTAGCAAAAGGCTCAAGGCAAAGTGATACGATCTCTTTAGTCTATTCCACCATGCCTATGGTCGCCTTACTTAAGAAAGACATAATGGATAAAATAATTGTTTAGAAGATGAAGATCCTCATCGTACCAACTCCAACGTCTCTCTCTTGAAAATTGCTTCTTCAGCAAAGACAGTATTGCAAGCAAGCTTCCAACGTCTCTTTGGTTACATTTATATAAGGATCTAAAGATTCAAAAGAAGTAACTGATCTGCTGTCGCACACGGGTCAAAAACGAGTAAAATATAACTGTAATATAACGGAAGCGAAACTCGAGTATCGTTTCACAAGGACTCTTGATTAAAATTAACCAACTGAAACGAGGGGCGTTTTAGGTTTCAATTTAGAATAAGTGATTAAAAATAAGCTTAAATGGCTAATCTACTGAATCTAGTTTTGACTTATCACTGATTATTAAATTCCAACCTTCTAAGCGAATTATCTATTCCTATTCGATTATAAAACTCGCTTACAAATGCAACTGGTTTTATGTGATGTAAGTTCCTATTATCCGAATTAAACAAATATATTTAAGCTCTCGCAAATTAAGCAAACGTGACTCAATCAAACACGATAACGAAAAAACTACACTAACGTGATTACGGTTAAAGAGCATACAACAATCAAATTAAATCAACACTAGTATATAATAATCGAATTAAGCAAATAATGATTACATAACAACATTGAAAGGAATATAATTTGGACATAAATTATTATAACCTCAAAGTATGATGGAACCTGTAATCAACAAATTTTGCGTTGAGATTAGTTCTCCATGAATCGTACAACACACAAAATAATTTTATGAATAGTGAATTCAGAGATGAAGAACAGTACCATGACTGCCTAGGGAAAAGGAAAACAAGGAATCCCCCTAATCCTAACAGGGTCGAAAAACATAAAAGCCGTCCCAAAACTAGTTATTTTCTAAAGTCTGAAACTAAAACTATTTATTCAAGTATTCTGCACTCCGAATCAGCTTTTGGCGTCAACACAAAACTTGTAGATCTTTCTCTTAGTTTTCCAACACATCCCATAATGCGTCAATCTGATTCCCGTAGTTCAAGTTATAGTCTGTATAGTAAGAAGGTATCAAATAACAATTAAACTGAAAAATAAACTACGAAAATAAAATAAAGCTACAAATACACTTAAAAATAAAAACACACTAAAATAGTAAAAAAAATAAAATAAATTATAGAAATGCATAAGTACAATAGTAGAAGAATATGCATCAAGATGTACTGATCAAATTCTTCCACACTTGAACCTTTGCACACCGAGCAAAAATCTAAATTCAAAACAAAATGAAAACAAAACAGAGCATGCGATTCCAAAGGTTCTCATGATACAAAGTGTAAGGAGAATTCTAATTCTAAGCTTCAAGAATATGGTGTTAGAGAGCAATTTTTACGTGACAATCAAAATAGATGAGAAGATAGTTTATAAAAGAGTACATCTTAAGCAGCAAGATCCTCATAGGATAAATTCTCTGAGTGTTCGACAAGCCTTGGCGACAATAGTTTTGGGTCGGCCAAAAACCCAAATAGCCGAGGCTTAATTCACCTCGAATCCACTCCACTTGACCCAATGTATAAAAGTTATTTCACACGGATATCAAGACACACTTTCTGAACTCCATTTTCACTATATGTCATGTCCCAAATTTGCCCGCCTCATTTTTGTAACTTGGTTTCATAATTTTTTTGGGTATTACTAACATTTTGAGTTTTATTTGTTTTTAAGACTATTTAAAAATACAATAATTTATTTCAAATTATTTGTATTTTTAAATAGCAAATACATGCTCACCTTTCATATATTTTAAATTGCCTTTTCCATCTTGAATGAAATGACATAGCACAATTGGTAAAGAAGCGAGCTTGTAGATACAAGGTCATGGGTTCAAATCTCACTTGATGTATTTTTTTGATATGTTTAGTTTATTATCACTAATTTTATTTCCATCATAAAAAAGTCATTTTTTTTTATTATTTAAATATTATTTTCATATTTTTATTATGGTATTTTTAAAAATTATAATAAATATGAAAAAATATTTCCTTTTCTAAATAGGTGTTTCTTATTGGCCATTTGATGTCAATTTGCATCACACTTAATTTCTGATTGATCAATTTTATTTTTATTTTTAATTTGGACGGTTTTTTTAATCTATAAATATGACATATTTTTCACACTTCTAAGACATTCACAATTCACAATATCCGGAAATTCACAATTTCACTACAAATCCACGTATCCACAATCTCTGCGAATTTCACAGTTTCACACGTCACTTTTGTAAGCTTCTTTTCAAAATTCTTCTAAAGAATTTTATTGGTGTTATTTTCAAAATATTTTTGACCGATGATTTGATATGAGGCCTCCCTCTTATTTTCGATTTTATCTTTTTAATTTTAATTTATTCGTTGTTTAAATCCCATGATGAATCTCTGATGGTTACTTTGTTCATTATATTTTTGTGAAAATTATCATTTGATTCCTAATTCTTATTGCTATTATATTTCAGTTGGTATTTCTAACATTCATCACATACTGATATTACTACTCACTCTCATTCACAATTACACCTTGTACATATTTTTTCATATTAACTATCACTCTTGCACCATCTATATTATTTTCCAATACAAAATCAATTTCGAAAGCTAATACTCCATAATTTTTTAAAACATGCTCTGTATAAGTTTAAATCAACAAATTACTAACACCATATTTCAAAATTCACACCACCTGCAAAACCAAGTTTTTACAAAACCACTAATTTTTGTAGCAATTACACAAACTCTAATCTCAAAAACATCAAATCTCATATAGTACAATTTGTACAAATTTTGTTCATCTTTTTTTTTTTTTAGAAAAACAAGAATAATAAACAGTAATATCAATTGCAGTAAAGGAAAATCTACACATAAAAAGAAGATAAAAAAAAAAAGAATTGAACCCTCGTTGATAAATTGTGTAATCTATCCTTCTTGTTATTTTTTTGTCAATTCTGCTCACAGGAAAAAGAAGAATCTGATTGTTGCTGAAACACCAACGTCGAAGCAACTTCTCTCCGGTGAGACAAACCAAGCCACACATCCAACTACTACGATGCAGATCCGACCATCATCGTTAATAAAAACCTGACGTGTCCGACGCCACTACAATCACGACCGCTCGCAGAATCTGCCTCGCCGCATCCACCGCGTCTAATCCACGAAGTCCGCCTCTGTACCGACAACAATTAATCGACGGGACCGCACATAATCAGCCGACCATGCTCTTCAATCCTCCGCTACCATGAAGGCAACACTCTGTTGATGAAGCTCCTCCCTCCGATTTCAGCCGCCACAAGCACCTGTTTTCTCCGTTGTTTCTGTTCCTCCGCCAGTAACATCCTTTATCCCTTCGTATTTAATTTATGAGATTTGATTTCACTTTGTTGTTCTTTTTGTGAATGAACTGAAGGAGACGAAAGAAAAGTATGATGAGTATAAAGAGGGAAGAGAAAGGGTATTACGTGAAAAAGAATAGAGGAATTTGAGATCTATTTTGTTTTCCTGATGATATTACTTATGGTTAATTATTATTGTTTTATTTTATTAATTAATCCATGCTACATGTCAAAATATGAGTGGTTGGTCCAAGATCTTAGAAAAAAAATCAAGATTGTAACAAATTGTCTTTCTTATTAGCTACCGATAACAGGATGAGACGTTCCTCCTTTTCTTAGACTTTTCTTGTCATAATTTTTTTTTTAATTTTTAATTATTATTTATTTATTAAAATTCTAAATTAAGTTTAGATGTTGTTAACTTGAGCTTAAGTCTATTAAGTCTAATTTGTTAGCTAATTATCCTACCTCTCTTTTTCTAATCATCACCCCCTTTTTATACTAATTGCGTCATTGATTTACTTGTTTTATTTTCGATTTAGTTTTTATACTAATTAAGTGTAATGATAATTATGCATTTAATTTTATCAATAATTTAGGAGTTTAGTCCAAATTAAAACTCAAAATCCCCCCTCATACATAAATCACTAATCTTGTACGTAAATCACATTTTTAGTGTTAATTCAAACATTCTATAAATAATAGTAGGGGTGGGCACCGGTTCGGGCCGGTTCAGGTTCGGGCCCAAACCCCCAATCCGAAGTTATCCACGGGTGGTATATTACGACCCAAATCCGACCCAATTATGATTCGGATTAGTCGGGTTCGGGTTGCATCGATTTCGGGTATCTATAGGATTAATTTCGGGTACCATTTTTAATGGGCTTATTGAAATATTAAGCCCAAATTCAGAATTTAGTAGTTTTACCCCCTTTTTTTTGTACAGTTTTCAAAATTTTCATTTAACTACTTAAAATTTCCAAAAAAAAAAATGACATACTCTATAATATAAATTCATAGTTAAAAAACATTACAAATTAACATAGTATCAAATTCAAATACATTACAAACTCCAATTCAAATACATTAAAAATTCCAATTTAAATAGATTACAAATTCCAATTTAAATAGGTATCAAATACATTACAAATTCAATTAAATTTAGCAAAGCCTACATAGTAACACAACCAACATATAAACTCCAATTCTTTGAGATTAATCCATTCCATAAAATAACCGGGAAGCTTCTTGCACTCCTGCACTCCTGCATAAAAGCTATTTGTTCCGTATGAAACAGTCTCAAGCTAAACATGGACAAACAATTGCTAAACTAAATAGTATAGTAATTACAGATATTTATGGCACTTGCAAACATAATTAACAAAAAAATTAAAGTAAATTGGAACTACAGTATTTGACTTCATATGAACTATATGAGAGGTACTCACCAATTCTCACTCATGAACTATATGAAGTATATATTAGCATCTTTACTATTCAAAATTAAAACAACAGAAGCTGGGACACAAAATCTATTTCTTCTTTTCTTGCATCATGCCAACAACTAAAGCCCTTATGAATCTTGTCTAAAGCTATAATGACAGGACATGAAAGCAGTTCCTATATAAGATATATAAAAAGCATAAACCCCATTCCCTTCTTTAACATCCAAGTAGAGTAACTTAAAAGTCCATTTTTCAGTCATAATTTCACAGGCAGGCATAAATTAAAGAATAATAAGTCACACTTCTCATTTCAGAAGTCACACAATCAACAATAAAATAACACATTCACAAGTCACACTTCGCATTTCAGAACAGCATTCACAAGTCACAACTTCAAAAAGCAAAATCAAAACATTCAAAAATTAAACGCTACCTGATCTTTATCATCGTGACAGTCTGATGCTACTGTTGAACAAGGCAAGAACTATAATTGGACTGCAGCAAGAGAACCATCTTTCTCCCTTGTACCCAACACAGCTCTAGAGTCACCAATGTGGACTTCCTTTGAAAGAAAGCATTGAGGATGAAGAATTTATCTGGTCCAGAACAAATCATAACTCAGAGATGATCTCCATAAATAAAAAAAATCAACCAAACATAAATTCTACTTTTTGAAGCCCTCTAAATTATATTTTCTTTCTACCACATGCTTATTATGCCAATGCCATATAGTTTTTAAGTAATAAAAAGATGGAACAGAGATGAGAAGTGCAATGCTTGTGTAATAAACAGATATGTTCCAGATCTCCTCTCATTTTTTATGTTGGTGTTGGTGTTCACTACTGAAATACATAAGGAACAGAGCCACACCACCAATTTATTATATAGCACTATTTGCACACGACTGATACCGGAGCAATAATCTATGAATCATGTAAATAAGTGAAAAATGAATTGTTACCTTTAAGAATCGCGAACAGTTTTTGGGGATTGAGTTGTCTTTCACATATGCTACCTTGTTACCTCTATATTCTTCGGGTACACAATCATTGTCATATCTGTCCACAATTTCAACAACCTAGATATCCATTGTTCAAAAAAATATCACAATAAGCATATGGATGTTGATTGGAAAGGAAAAAGATAAAGAAATTGCATAGCATGAATGTAAGAAGAAATGATATATACACTATACGATGCACGGAGTGTAACAATTCCAATAGGAATAAAAATCAAACCCATCAACAGAAATGTAGAAATGACCTGCAAAGAACATGATTGAGAATTAGAATGCACACTTTTCACAAAGGCACCATAAAATATTCAAGTATTGTAAAAGAACTAACTGCCGCAGGTGTAAGGACGGGTTTACATGCTGGAAGGTTCTGCTGTGTAAACTGATGGAGTGCTGCAAGACCACCACAAACAGCATCAATTATCATAACAAGTTGAAAACCAGGGCAAAAAGAAAGTAAAAAACCCACCACCATGTCGTACAGGGCGTCCTGGATTAGCCCGTGCACTCGTGCAATATAGGTAGTTTTAAGCTATTACGAAATTAAAAAGCATCAACTAACACTTTTAAAAATCATTTGGAATTGCTAAACAATTTTAATAGAACAAATTGATTGCAGATCGCAGAAAATTACAGTTTGTTCAAGTTTTGTTATGTCGGCAATACTTTGAATTCGATAGTGTGTCACAAAACAATAGTGATTTGTTCAACTAGTGCTACATTACAGATAGCACTGCTATAGAATCACTAGTTTTCCATAGATTTACAAGTCAATACCTGCTTAACCAAAGTTCTGGAGCATAACATATAGTTCTTTTAATTTCACTCAGGCACTTCGCAAAAGGTTTAACATCATCATGGCCGTCAGTAGCACATACTAGCAATATAAGCTCTGTACCTGTGAAACAAATACTAGCAATATAAAAAGGGTAAAATTGATCATCACCTTTGCAGCTGAATGAGACTTTGAAGCGAAAATAAGAGAAAAATACAGGGTGAGAAAGCGAAAATACCAGCTGTATCCCAGAGGCCTAAATTGACAGTTATGCCTTCAAAAACGCCGGAAGACGCGGTCTTAATGCAAGAATCAAAACTGTTCAGCATGTATACACATATTAAACAAAAAAATCAGCAAGTAATTAAACTTACTATCGATATTTAGTTCTTGGACAACGCTCTCAAAAGTATCTTGGATCAAAAGTCGTTGGTTGTGTTGTGGCTTCAAAATAATGAGTCATAAGACTCCAAAAAATTCAGCAATACTGCAAATACAACTAGAAACATTAGAAAACATACAATTTTACAACTACTGCAAATTTAGCTTCTGAATATTCAGGAAGTCTTTAACCTGAAGTTGTTTCAAGCACAGCCAGAAGGCTGTGACTGAGTCTGAGCAGACGAAATTTCAGCAAATCCTATTACACATATTAAAAGGCATTGACATTGAGGTGAGCAGCAGGGAATGAAAGTAATATTTCAGCAACATATTACAAAATAAATTAAACAACCACACTTAAGATAAAAATAATACCTTGTAAAGCATCTTCCGAAATCTCATACTCCTCATTGAATTCCAAGTCTTTGAATTGGTAAAAGGAAGGCCTCAACCAGTTCTGAGCACAAATTAATGCCTCCGCCATTTCTGGTTTGAGAGAGCTTCTATATACCTCTAAAACCCTTCCACCCGTGCTAAAAGCACTCTCAGAAGCTACGGTTGACACTGGCGTTGGCATGATATCCCTAACTATTTGGGACAGAACTGGGTATTTCCCGACATGATGTTTCCACCAACCAAGAATGTCAAAAGTGTCTTTATCCTTTTCATTAAAACTTATGCACTTTCCTTTTATATAGTTTTGAAGTTCAGTTTCTTCTTCAACTGCATCCAAAGACATCAAATGTTGTTGAAACGCATTTGCCCTAGCCACGGATGTGGGTAATTCATCGCTGGCTGCTGTTTCACCATGAGAAACAGCCGCTGCAACAGATGGAATTAAGCCTCCAGCAGTGTCGTATTGTTGTTTATAAAGGTTGAACATGGTTAAAAGATTGTCATTTATATCTTTTAATAGTGATTTACTAGTTTCCGAATTTTTTCCATACATATCATCAAAACACCATTCCACAAATCTCAACTTATATCGGGGATCAAAGATAACACCAAAATAAAGGAGTTGGTTCATCTTTGTGATATCAACCCAATATTTACTATACTTTTCCAGCATATCCCTAGCCACCTCAGCAAACAATCCATTAAGGTCCATATTTAACCTCTTAAGTTCAATGTAAATTG